ACTGCAAGCTAAGAATATTACTGAGCTTCAGACCCCCCTGAGGCCCATTGACCGATGTGGAGGACTATGGTGGAGTTTGCTTCCATTTTCTCTTACCAGGGAGTCACTGTTCAGTTACAGGCTGCTCAGTGACTGGGAAAACATGAGACCCTTGAGTGAGGGGTAGGAAGTGACTGTTTATAATGAAAAACAGTTGTGGTAAGATAGGGCTAAAATTGGGCTGCACTACTTGAAATGAGAATTCCACTGAAATTGCTGGAACTAAGGAACATTGTGAGCAAGAAGAATTAGTGTTCTTTTAATAGGATGGTTATGTTCTACAACTTGAACTGTCAGCATGCAAATAATTGGTCTCTTTTACAAGGCATACAGATTTAATATCAAAACTGTTATCTTTTGTTAACAGGCATCAACTTATAACCACATTCAGGAAATAATGGTGCAGTTATTGCGCACAGTGAACAGAACTGTTATTGCAATGGGACGAGATGATCCCTTAATCGTGAGTAATGTTTTAATATATTTTTAATGCTTTGCAAGTTATTTGATACCCCTCTTGGGGAAAAAAAAAAGGCAAATATAGTATTTGTGGGGTCCTTGTTTGAGGACCTTTTAGATCTAAAATGAAAGGGCTAAAGCTTTTCTCTTGTTTCATTTGCTGTAGTTGGATACTGGGAGATTTGTGCATTTCTTAAAAAGAAAAACCCCAGACAATAAAACTCAAGTTATTTGTTTGCAAAAAGAAGGCTGTTTCACAAGCTTACATAAAGTGCACACTTTAACACACTGAAATAATGTTTCCAGTAATCCGAAGGGGAAGTAAAACTATAAAATAGGTTATTCGGAACAGTTTGCATAAATAACGGGGGCATGCTGTGTTTCTCCCATTTTTTCCACATGCTTTACTTTTTGGTGGTTGGAGTTGCTATGAAACAGCTCTGTTCCTTGCTCTGTTTCTGGAGAAGGATGATGATACTCTAATACCATGTTATACTAATAAAACGTTGCTATTTACAAGACCTTGCATGCGATTGCATACTGGATTGTTGCCTTTACCTGAGTGGTTTTGCTTTCTGGCAGGGTTAAGCAGGTTAATTTTCAAATTCAGGTGTCCTTTTCACAGAGTTCTTGGTTATTGGCTGAGAGGGAGTGAAAAGGATTTGGGGTTACAGTTTCCTTTATTTTTTCTCACTACAATGCCAGTTGAATTAAGGGAAAGTGCGGCAATGTGTTCAGCTTGTAACGGCATGCTGTAAACTCGGGCATGTAATTACTGGAAAAAGTCAGGCTAGGAGGAGATAATCCCTTCAGGAGAAGGTGTTGGTGATGCAAAAGTAGTTTGTGTCTCTGCAACTACTGCAGAGAAGACTTAGATGCCAGTCTTGACTTTGTTGTGATGTTTGGCAATTGAAAGCTTTAACAGCAGCTTGGTTATTTTCAGTATTAAAGAAAAAGCCTTGGCTGTTTAGTTCTACAAGTGCGTCTAAACTTGTAACAAGGGGACAAGTTCGTTGTCTGAAATTGGCTCTTCAAGCTTTACCTTGAGTGCTTGATGAACTTTAGACTTTCGTTTAAAGGGTGCTGTGATGCTGTAGATTAAGTCTGACCGCAGTGATTATAGCAGGAAAACATATCTAGAATACAGAAATACTTGTCTTCAGTATTGGCTTGGTTAGGTAAATAAAAATACCATGAATACAGCATATGTTCTTGACTTTGTTCACCGTATCATTTCAGCATGATGGAAAGGCTGCAGTTCTGCTGCACAGAAAAGGTTTTAGGCAATATTTGTGTAAGTTACTGTGCCATAAAAGATTTTGCTGAAAAGAAAACAGTGCTCTGTTAACCGGGGCTACTCTAGATAGCATATTGGTGCAAAAGGCAATACTCGCTGGGGGAATAATGGCCTGAGAAAGCATTGGGCAGAGCTGCGGTACTTGGAGAAGATGATGGTCTACCTAAGAGTTACAGCTTTTATGTTCAGCATTCATATTGTGATCCTTTCTCTACCTAGAGAAGTTGAGGGACCTGTTTGCTTATTTACCTTTTGTTTTCCTTTTCTAAAGGACAATTGTTCATTTCCTTTGTAATCCAAATGCTGTTTGTTATTAACTGACTCCTGAAACCCAGGAAAAATATCTCATTTTATTGCAAAAGATAACACCACATTTCGAGAACCTAGAAATTTACAAAACATACATTAGACAATACATTTCCTTAGGAAGATGTTTGGTATCTAAGCTATTAGAATTACTCAGTATTGTTGTTTTTTTGGAAAGAGCTCAAAGTACACAAAACTATAAAAGCCCTACTTGAACTGCTGTTTTATGACAGAGAGAAATCAGTATTTTATTCATACAGTCTGAATTCCTTAATTGAGTTTGACTCCAGTAAACAGCAATTTCCAATACAGTCATTCTGGAATGTGCATGTTCCGTGCAGCTTTTTAGCACTAGTGTATTGTAGCTGTCATTGAAATGTGTCTTTCAGAGAAGGCTTCAATATTTTGTATGCAAGTGCTGTCAGCTGTGGTTTGCTGTTGGGTTCTTTTTGTCTGTGTGTGTTTTTAGGTTTTATTTAAGACTGCGTTTGTATGTATATCCAGCATCTGTTTTCTACTCTGAGAACTGGTCTAGGCATTACATCTTAGTTTTGTAAATGAGAGATTCTTATAGCCAGTGCTATTCTCTTCCAATAATCTACTAATTCCTATTGCTTTTCCAGGCCCAACATCATAAATTGCATAGTGTGTCTGGTAATTTTTAGATTTCCTATATGAATTAATAATACCAAAAACTTTAAAAAAATATTAAACAATAAAAATAACCCCCAGTGCTTACATATGAAATCTTGACATAGCTCAGATTCTCCCATTAGGTGTTACAAAGCTGTTTAATCGTGTTTTGCGTTGCTAGGATATACAGATTTCTATGTTGAACGAGCCTAAACAAAACAGATAGCAACTCTGCAGTCTTCCCCTCTTGCTGTGGCTGATGCGTACCCTGACTTACGCATTCCCACTCTTCCCTTTCAATGTAACATATAGCCTTTTGCTCTAGCGTTGCCTCTGAAGTTTCATGTCGAAAGCATGTTGTGTGTGTTACGTGTGAAGTCTGGTTGTAGCCCAAAAGATCAGTTCACTGCAGAAGACTTGCTGATTTTGCTAGTGTTATGCCTGTTGGTATTGCTTATGATGATACCTTTACCTTTACAGAGGATATTAATATTAAAATGTTATTATAGTACATAAAAAACATTTACACCCTAGTAAATCCTTCATTATCTCATTATAGACCAGTGCAACATAGGAATGTTCTTGGCATGCCAGCATAAGCAGTACATGTATTTGAGTGTAATATAAGATGTTTTGATGTAATAATTTAATTCTTACCTTTGTTATTGAAGAGGTTTTCTGTCTTGCTAAAGGCAGCCTTTTTTGCTTGTAAAAATTCGTAGAAGATTTTTCTTCTGAAAAGCCTCTAAAATAATGATAATTTTATGCCTGTCATTTCTGCGCTGACTGAACTCAGCATGGAAATGTTTTTTAACACTGTCAGTCCTGTCCAAGTGTAATAAATTAAGCCACGTCACTTTACATGCACTCTTCTACATGAACACCACTAGTTCTAGCAAAAAACTTAGTTCTTCCAGACAACATTCTGTGCAAAATTGGTTTTAATGTGTTTTCAAATGTGTAATTAACCCTAAGAATTCAAGGAAACAGAAGTGTGCAAAAAGCATACAGACATCTTTAACTAACATTGCACAATTCATACAACATGATTTAGAAAAATAGGATCCAGGAGTTAACCTGTGGAACACCCTGGCACCGTTTGAACTGATTAACCAGAGTCACATCCAAGAAAAGGTCTGCAGGACATTCCACTAAACATAAAATACATCATTTGGGCTTTACAGTGTGCCCTTTTGGAAAACCTGCTCCTTTCTTCCCCCCCCCCCCCGAAAGATATCTGTGTTTTCATGAGGAAAATAGTCTCATCAGCCCTAAAGTAGACTACATTGGCATACTCTGTGCTAACTGGTAACTCTGCTGTTTCTGAAGGAAGGAGATAGCTCCATTGACATCAGATGAAATCTTTTTAGCACTTATATTTTTTTTTATAAAATGCAGATTAGTTCATTAAATATATTAATTTATTTATATCTTAAGGCCAAAAAAAACCATGTCTTTTGGTGCAGTGGTACAGGTAGGTGACAGACAAATTGGGCAGGTGGTTTAGCAAGACAGTAGCCAGACTGGTTATACTCCTCACTCCATTGCATGATGACATCTGAGGCATTGTGTCCTGTTGTAGGCTTCCAAGTAGATGAAATTCACCAACTTTTACTGGAGAGAAACCGCCAAGATGACTGTGGGATGCAGCACATAACATGTGAAGAGAGGCAGTGAAAACTGGATATGTTCAGACTTGAAGTAAAGGCTTAGGAAAGAGGTTTTATTATCTGTCTACTTCCTCTTAAAAATAAAGTTGAATGGGAAACAAGTAACGGACACAAGTTTTAGAGCCCAAAATATAGAGATTAGATGTTAGGGGGGAAAAAATGGCAGCAGTTTTCCCCAGGAGGTTATGTTTTTTTGTCTTTGGAGATCCTCAGAACTCAAATTCACCTGATTAGACCTTGCTTGAGTAAGGGGGTTAAACCTAGAATGACTGAGTTATGATTCTCTCATTCTTTTCAGAGTAGTCACTGAATCATCTAAATGATTGCTTTTTAAGCTGAACCAGTGAAAGGAGGGAGTAAAACCGAGCCTGAAAGTCTTCTTCTGTTGTTAAGTATTAGCTGATAACAACAACAACAACAACAAAAGAGTGGGGATGTGAAATACTTGTCTCCTTTGAGGAGGGATTTTTTGAACAACATAGGTTCCCCTGAATTTGTTCTTGATTATGTGATTTGTTTAAAGGTCAATGAAGTTGTTTCCTCTTAACCCATGTTGCTTATAGGAAACAAAAACTCTGTGAGGCCCTTAGTTTTGCCTACCATTGTGTTTTAAAGTAGAGATAGTTATTTTTTGTAAAGTTGGAAAGAAATTCTTTACAAAGCGTATGAAAGTGTCCTTGGAAAAAAATGGGAAAGCTTCCTTTTGAAAGAAACAGTTTCTTTTTGAAAATAGTATCCTCATGCACCTTTACTGAGTGAGGTGATTTAAGTAAATTTGATTATTTTGATTTTTCCGATACTTTAATTAAACATTCTTCAGCTTTGTGATGTTGGAATAGCAGTTTTTCAGGTGTGTGCTCTCCAACCTCTTCGGGTTTAGTGTTTTTTGAAACATAGAAGGTTTCCTAAGGAAGTCAAATCCACCAGAAGCATTTTCTTTTCACCTTTTTTGGTTTTCTTCTCAACTCCTTTTTCTCAGGAGCTGGATGATCAGATGGCAGCTTCTGAGGTGAAGCTGGAGCTGGACTTTGCTCTGCCTGATCCAGCGTTTTCAAAATCTGATGAAATCTTCCTTCTTGTTGTCTGAAGTCATATTCTACACTATGGAAAAATGAAGAGATTTGAGGTAGCAAGTGAGAAATTCCCTCAGTAAAATAGATGTGGAAAGGATGAGAATAATCTGGCACTATTCAGTATTAGACCCTGGTTAAAACACAAAGTGCATAGGTTGATGCCTTGAAAAGCAGTTCATCTCTTAATCTTTCTAAGAGAAACCTTTTTCTTTCTATGAGTTAAGAACTCCAACACTGTGCCCATGAAATGGGACAAAACTTAAGGGAGTTAAAAATGAAAATGTATTAAGATGACCTTTCCATGATCAGGTTTTGATAGCGTAATCTAACTCAGTCATAGGCTTAGTGTGAATTCAGGAATCTCAAGTGCTTTAAAGGGGAATGTCTCCGCTAGGACCAAAAATATGTGAAACTAAGTTAACATGTAAGTCTTTGAAATAAGTGCTATGAATTAACAGAAAAGTTGAGTGTAACTCACTTTCTCCATTGAAACCCATAATTATTGTTGATGTCAAATGGGAGCCAAGAAGTCTATTACAGAAGAGCAGATCTGTGCAAGGAGGTTCAAGTAAGGTTCAAATCTATGCGGATAGTGATTAAGCCTGTCTCGTGCAACCAGCAGCTGTACTGGTGCTGTATGACTTTTCTTTATTGCAACCACCTTTTGTAGACAGGAGAGTGGGAGATGTATAAACCCTGCTTGCCGTGGAGGTTTTAGCAGGCAGAGGGGAGAGTTAAAGGGAGCTGGTTGTGATTTCCATAGTGCAAGCTTCTTGGGAGGAATAAGGTATCATCAGAAGGATATAGAGATATCACAATAAAGCCATGAGCCTCATTTGAGCACTGAGTACAAGAAATGTGTAAAATTCGTAAATACGCATAACTTGAAACCCTATTAATTGTGTGTATTTGTATGTATATAGAAATCCATAAACATTGTTGAGTAATATGTTAAAATGAACAAGAAGCTTGTTTCCCCTATAATTAAGGTGGTTTGGAGTGTTTAGTAAAATAACGTAGCTTGTGAAAGGAAAGCAATAGGATTATTCTAATTTAGAACTGGAGAGTGATCCCAGGACAAAGAGCTATATGTAGTAAACAGAAGAAGCTGATATAAATGAAACATTTGATCAGTGTCTCTTGAATTTTATCTGACTATTGCAAGAAACTGCACTTAATTTTCAGTAGTCCAGATCACATGCTGGACAATGAAATGTTCAGCTTATAGCATACGTATGTTCTTTTTTCAATTCCCTTCTTCAGTGTTTCTAATTTACTGTTGGAGATATCATCTCTAGAGGCAAGAGGTCAGTTCAGTCTTTGTTTAATACTGTCTCTTATACTCCATGGTAACAGTGGTTTCAGTCACTAATTGCATTTGTTCGTTGTAGTGTAAACATTTGCCTTGCAGGATCTAGGCACAAAGTCCCAAGTAATGTCACATAATCCTGCTGGATAGTTAATAAAGCTGAATTTACAGCCACTATTCTATATACCTGAAAAGCCTTTTATTACTTTATCTATCAGTGTAATCCACCCGAAAAGCCTTTTATTACTTTAGCTATCGGTGTAATCCACGCTTGGATTGATATGAAATTAGTGTGTTGCTTGACACAGGGACTGCTTAGAATGAGCGTGATGAAGATGCTTCAGTGACATTAACAAAAAAACAGAGGGCAAGACGAAGCACCTGGTTCAATAATTAATGCCAACAGGGATGCTATGTTAGTAGAAAGAAAGAAATGCTTGCACGGCTCTTTTTGGCTTCATAAAACATAGGGATTGTATGGGTTTGTCTAGAGCAAAACCTGGTAACAATTAGTTGTTTCAGAATATTGTCTAATGAATATTCATGACTGTGTCTGTGGAACATCTCTGCAAAGTGAAAACTATCATGTTTCCTTGCTCTCTCTGGTTTTGCCTCTTAAAGCTAGAAACTTTTTAGAAGGGCTATGTTCTCTTGTATGTGTTCTATTAATCATTGCACTGTAAGCCCCCAGGCACCATTACCATTGCAAACTACCTAGTGACCAAAAATGCACATCAGTGTTTTGCTGCTTCCCCTGTTCTTTAGTTCAGGTTCTTGTGCTTGTTGCTCATGGTCTTTCCTGTATTGAAACCGTGTAAATTAAAAATGGAAGGGACCCATCATAGTTTTTTGTTCTGAAGGGAGAAAGCAGTTAACGGGTAGCTGGTACATAAATTCTATAGTCACCTCTGTTCCTGTACAGCCAAATAAAAATGCACAGAGATTGTTCAAAGACGATGAACAAGAAAATCTGTTTTCTCCTGGATCTCCCTTGTTACACAGATCCAGTCTGTGCTATTGGATAAATCATGTAACCTGAAGCATCTAGAGGGCTGTGGAGAAGACTAACCCCTTTGTCTCAGAGGAGCTGAGGTGTTCAATTTGTGACATGACAATTACTTTGTGGTTTCGTTACCAGAGGTTTAGGGCATTGGTACTCGGCTGTGTTGTGTGTTAGCAACAGGTTCCAAAGCTGTGTCCAAGCTTCACTTTATCTAACAAGCTTACAAAGCACTTTAAAAAAAATTGGCTCATGTAGAAAATACAGTGTGAAAAACACTTCCATGTGGATATAACTTATTCATTACATCCATAAAAATTGCAAACTGGCAAAGCTAAAGTTCTGTCATGTTCTTTGAACCAAAGGAAAAGTTTTCAACCTAAAAGAAGAGTTCTCTTACCCTTTATTTTTGTAAATGTAATCAAATAACTGAAGATGTGTGTTTTCTGCCTCACGACTGAGGTTGCAGAGATTGGATAATGTGTTTCTAGGTTGGCAGAAACCCTATAAAATGCACAAGCTGAGTACATGGTATAACTAAGGGTTTGTACCTGCTAGATTTTGGCTGATGCCTGGCAAGCTGGGGACTCTGCAGTGTGTCTGTGTAGATGGAGCATTCAAAGCACATCCAGCTCCCAGAACACAGAACTACCAAGGGTTTTGGTCATAAGAGTTTAATGTAAACTGCAGTTTAAATCTGGAGTAACTTACACTCAGATTGCACTCCCTCAAAACAATTGCAAATAAACATCTAGAGCAGTGGGAAGCGTGGGAGTTTGGTGTTGGTTTGTATGTAAACATGAGCTGTAGCTTACTGGCATTGGAGACTGAGTTGTTTGTCTTTTCCAAGATTTACAATTGTTACTGAAATCCTCGCTTTGAGAATGTCACACACACGGAGAACTTCATCGTCAGAAATGGCATTGAGGTTTTTAGAAGCATCCTGATAATAACAATGCCAGGAAACATTACTGAGAAATTTGTGAGTTCTCAGATGTACGTCTTTCAAATAACACCAGTATTGTTTTCTGCATGGGAAAACAAAACCACCTCACTCATATCACTTGGTCTTTTGTTAAAAACCAGGTTTAGAATAATTGAGATATTTTCTAGCTGTAGGGAAAGCATTCTATTATACATCTGTGAGATATCCAGACAACACAAACTGACACAAAGGAGTTGGGTACCTGTAAATGATACATGCGGTGTTCTGGCAGGTGCTGCAGTTGTTGAGGTCTTGACCAGTGTGATAGAAGTTACGCCTGTAACAGACAGTAGTTCATGTCGTGTATTTACACCTACATTAACAGATCACTGAATCTTTCTTTCTCACCTCATGCTAAGATTCTGGTTGGTGGTTCTTGAATGAATCCTTGTGAAAACACTTAGACATGCAACTGCTTCCTGTAAATACTTTAAGGTATTTGAATATCCATGCTTTTGGTGACTTGATCTGATTTCTCCCTTATGCTTTCCATTCTTTCCCTTTTTCATGTTTCCTCACTTGAGGTAGCCAAGTCAGGCTTTTCCTGCTGAGAGTGTTTGAATTTGGAGTGTTGAGAAAACAAATAAAGTGACTTTCATACTTCACACCAACTACAGTTCAATTATGTTTATGATGGACATGCAGAAGCAGCTTGAGCTCGGTGGCTCATTACATGTGAAAGATGCAGAACACTTTGAACGAGCTTTATTTGAATTACAGGAGTTCAGTTTGTACCAACATAATTTTCTGATTGCTTTTGGACCTAAAGTGGAGGTTCTTCACATGTGTTATTGTACTACCTCCACAAGTACTTGGGATGTTCAGTTTTACCGCTAGATGATTCTAGCAGCATTGGTTGAAGCTTATCATTGAACCTTAATGTGACACTGACCGGTATTGGGCAAAACCTTTGGTTTTAGCCACATGGGAAATGAGCAGAAATGGACTGTAAATATTACTGGGTCATCTGAGCTAGCTTCACTTCAAGTTACTCTTTGTAATGCTCAGATTTTCAAACATCATTGAAAATCGTCCTCTGTCAGACATAAATACATGCAGGGGACAAGGAGGGGGCATTTTTCTTGTAATTTCCTGCAGAACTGTAGTTGGGTGTTAGTTGTATGAAATACGCTATAGACAAGTGATTGTTTAAGGTTGACACACGGGTTTTTCTTTCCACCCCCTGCCTTGAATCTTGCTTCTAAACTGAACTTTTGGGTTTTGGTGTTTTACAAATGGTTTTGCCTATTTGCTATCAGTGTGTTTATATGGGGTTTGTCTGCTGTGTCTAGGTTTGTACAAAGTTGGAACTAGAAAATTGTATGGGCTTTTCAGATAGAGAAAAATGACTAAGCACAATCCTCTGAAAAAGGATAGCTGGAGCTGCATTATATGGGGAAATGCTACATGGAATAAAAATATATGAAGTCACAAAAAGCTAACAGAAATATTTCCACCTTAACAGTCAGGTGGACATAAATGGTTAATGTTTCCAGAAAAAAAAGGTACTCTGTACAGAGCAAAATCACATGTTAATGTGATATATAGTGTGTTAATTATTTTAATGAGTGTAAGCCATCAGAAACGCAAGGAGGTCATTTCAATTCCCAGATAAAATACTTGGAGAAAATAAAAAAACCTTCAAAATGGATTTGCTTTTCTTCAGAAGCTGTTAAAAAATTGGGGCATATAAAATTGTGGCTTCGGTTAGTTCTGTCCTGACAGTCTCTGCACAGCCACACAACCCTTTCCTGTCCACATGGGAGCAAGTGCAAAGATGTGGGGCTGGGTCACAGGAGCAAGTCACTGTCATGTTCTGTGCTATTTCTGTGCAAATGAATCTACCCCAAAATCTCCATGTCTCACATTTCAGTACACTTTGCAGAAACCACAAGAAGAACGCTGCACTGTCAGATTTACTCCTTAACTGCAGTCAGTAAATACTATTGATGCACATGATCTGATTTTAAGGATGCAGTTTTGCACTCGGACCAGTGGTGCATAATGATTACTTTAGATGCCTGAGCTGCCTGAGTAAATGATGACATAGATTTAATGTTGTTTTATCCTTACAGAATAAAGTAAAATGGAACCTTTGTTCTCTCAATACTTTGACAGATTTATCTGGGATTTTTTCAAAGGCAAAAAGTATTTGATGGATAAACTACGTTATCATAAAACAGAACTTTAAAATGTATCCTGGCTGTATTTACTGTAAGTAGGAGCTGCTGTTCATGGTTTGGAAAACATTATTAGGATATTCTAAAACCTGTATTGAGCATAGATATATTTTAAATTCTATTTTAACATTGTTCTATCAAGGTGTCCAATCTTTAGCAATTATTTGCATTTATAGTAGTAGTATTATTTCTGACGCACAAATCAGTTGCATGATTAAGTTACATAAATAATGCTGGCTGCCTTGGCTATAGTCACTATGAGAACAGGCTAAAAATAAATAATAGGTCACAACATCTCATGACAGTGCAGAAAGCAGCCATTGACACCTGAGATTCCAAAGTGAGCTCTTGCTACCTATCTCCACGTGCTCTATATTCATAGTTTTAATGCCTTTTAAGCACCTACCTCCATCTCCCATGAAATCTTCCTGACATTCTGGAGCCCTTGAAGTTTACCTGTGCCTGTTTTCAAGGCATGCCCTTTAAGCACCTGTGGTGTCATGACATACAACTAGCAGTGTTGGGGGGGGGGGGTCCCAACTGTCTGCAGATGCTGGGCTTTAGCTGCTAATCCTTTTACTTGCTTATGAAGGCAGTAATAATGTGTTGCACAGAAGCAGAGTTTTGCTGATAGAAACCCTTTCAGCTGTAGTACTGCTTTGGCACTAAATGCATATCTGATCTTGCTAATAAGAGGTAGTTTTCTTGCTAAAGATTTCTATTATACTACATTAGCCTGTAGGGTTTTGTTCTGCATACAGGTTTTAGCTGGATCTCAGGTGTCAGTGATTTTGTATCTGACACCATGAATCTAAATAAAACAGGGAGTTACTAAAACATGTCTTACACTGGGTTTAGTAAAGGCAGTATCAGCTAAAGGCAAATTATCAAGAGACTTTCTTCTCTGCTGAGGTACAAATGCCAGGAAAAGGGTGTAAGATTCCATTTTGCAAACTCATCTCTAAATATTTCAGGAAAGGGTTTTTCAGGAGCAAAGGTTGCAAGAATGCTAGCATCTACTATACACTACTGCTGAATTACTGATATTAAAATGCACCATACCCTTCACTGAGGGCTCTGGATTTTTCCAGGTCTTGGATCACATTCAGAAGGACTTTAATCTTCTCCTGGTTGGACTGCAAAGATTCCTCTACAGACTGCAGCCTGCCTTGGAGGGCACAGAGTTCACCGTGTGCCAAACGGATTTGATTGAGTCCGCTAATCTCTTTGTTGGTTTGTGGGTTTATTTCATTCCTTGGCAGATAAGACTTTATGTGAAATCCTTCTAAACAGCTGTTACACTGGGAAACAGCTGGCTGGGTAGAATTGTTCTCCATTTCTGAACTACATGTCAGAATAGATTTTGACGCATTACTGCTGGTCACTGAGATTATTGTGTGACCATCGTTTGTTAATGTCACACAGCTGGAATCTGGTTTGTGCTCTCCTGTCTGTTGACAGTCTCTGAGGAAACAAGATGAATTGTGATTTGATGGAGATGGGAATGGAGCAGGTTCCTTACTGCTTTCATCTTTGCTGGCTACAAGTGACTCCGAATCACTTCTATTTGCTTCACAGGACTCAGCATGAGCATTGTATTCACTGCAGTTACTGGAATTGAGTAGGCAAGGGTATGCTTTTCCAGAATTAGACAGCAGCGTGCTGCTGTCATTATTTCCATTGATATTTATGGCAGAAGAAGAATGCAGTGAATTACTTAAATTCGTGGTTGTGTCTGGTGCATCCATGGAAACATTGCTGTCTTGTGGAAAACCCACATGTATGTATTCAGGCATCTGTGTAGAAACAGTTGTCTTCTCTGATCCTGAGAAACTGTCAGTCTGGATAGGTCCATTGCTTTGTGCTTTTGATGGCCTTTGACTTAACTGACCATCCACCTCACTCCCCTTAAACCCACCTTCCAAATGATTAGTTATTCTTAAGTAACAGAGATCTGAAGACATCATGTCTTGATCAGAAAGGTTGCCGTTCACCTGGACAGAGTTTGCAGGCTCACTTGGCATCTCCGTTAGTGATTTGCTGACGGTCAGCTTTTTTCTTTTAAAAACTGGGAAGTGTTTCCTGAGGCTGGGAGATGTTTGTATGGCAATATTCTGAAGCCCCTTCTGAGCCCTTGCAGCAGATGGAGATTGATGTAGCAAAAAACTGTGATCAGTAAATATTTCTGGTTTTCCAGCCATGAATGCTATATGTTGGGCAGGGTTAGGATCCAGCTCGTTCTTTGTGTTCACACCATCATCCTTGAATCGAACCTGCTGAGATTTGCTCCTGCGGTGCTGTGGCTGTCTTATAAAATCAGCTGAATCCAGACTGTTCCTTTTCAGGAGCACTGGGCGCATTCTCATGTTTTGCTGGGCCATTGAATCACAATTTAAAGTCTGTAAGTAACGTGTTTCTTTGCGACCCATTTCATTTGTCATTTGAACTGAATATTAAGATTGTTCCTAAGGTGCAAATGAATACTTTGCTCTTGAAGAAGCTAAGCTGTTCATTCTTCTTGTTATGTGTGCTTTTAACTGACATTCTCTCTTTAGGAATGCCCTTTCAAATTTAATTGACCAAATACTAAAATAAAGAAATTCTATACCATGTTTATTGAAAGATTTCTTGTAGCAAGGGAGTGCAGAAATCTGTGTGTTGTGAAGCTAACATAATCTTCAGATTACAAAATTACATAGGCTGTTATGCTTACAGTTAGACGATTTAAAGGTAAGGTGGAGTCTATGGCTTTCCTGATGGCTCTTGTGTGACAGTCAGTTCTCCATTGGTGATCCAGCCTTTTTTTATGATGGTCCAGTCACATGTGCTTTATTTGCATGTTGTTGAAACAACAAGCATTATAACTTTTGGGTGTATTTTCATTTCTGATGCATAGTTTTCCTAATGAAATATACCCATTAATGCCAAACTGAATTGCTTTCTTTAGAGAGAGTTTTTCTTCTTCAGCCATCTTTTTAAAGGTGCAAATGAAACTAATCTTCCCAAACAGTTAAGCAAACTGTAAGCAATTCTGACCAGGTAAAAATGCAGCATCCAGTGGGTTTCCGTGGGGGAAGTTATCGTTGTGTAGCTGTTACTTCAGTTTGTGCAAATACAGGGCCAGTCATATCCAAGGGACTGTTTCACTTGGGGAATTTCTGTAAATACTTTGGCACCAGGAGAGCTGTCCAGTCTGAAGAGCCAGCAAGTGCGGAACAGCGGGAAATGTTTCCTGAAAGTAACAATAGTTGTAGATGAACAAAGTGCCAAATATGATAAATTTCTTATGCTGTCTCCTCAAAATTGCCATCTCCATTGATTTTGTATCTTTGGTAGCGAGATACGTGTACAGAAACTTAAAAATGTTTCGTAATGTTGAAGTGCCTCAAGTTATCCTCATATGAAATACAAAATACTAAAGATTGATACAAAACATTTAGAGGGGTGGTTTTCTCTTTGTGATCAGTACTCATTCTCCTACCCAGATCATTCCAGAATAGTTGGAACTAAACCTTGGTATCTACAATGAATAGTAGCAGGTTTTAAGTCCTGAATTTCACAACTCACCCATGAGATGTACCTGCGTGTAAAATATGCTTCCTGTATTTTTAATAAGGAATGCTAAATCTGAAATCAGCTGCTAGAACAGAATAGGGCAAAGAGGAGGCATTTATGCAGAATACAGGAAATATTCTATGGGATTCTGAATAACCAAGCATAGTGTGCTTTTAGGTTTGCAGTGATTTTTAACACTGCAGCTAAATTCCCAGCATAATGTCAATTTCCCAGTAATGCTCTTCCCTGATTCTGTTATCAGCCTTGTTACTTCTGTTGCCTTAGTGTATCTTTTGTTGAAGCACTGCAGAAACTTTACCATATTTAATTTGCAAGAATCGATGAGATAGGTGCAGTGGGTAAGATCTGTTCCAGAATACAGCAAACTGTTCTGTAGCCTCCTGTACCATTCAGGCAATGTGATGTAATTAAAGTAATTATGTGATATTATTCTATTATTAAGTTTGAGAAGAAAATGAGCATTGAAAGATTTCACGACAGAGAGAAATGTTGTGTGAGATATTGAGGAAACAAATATGCACATTAATAACAGATTTTACTTTCAGGATATGCTAGCATTAGGTCACTTAGCTCACTGCACTGCCTGTTCAGTGGAAACAAGTATACACAATAAACAAGTCAAAGTGTTCCTGCAGATAGAGTTCCAGTGCCAAGTTCTGAATTCTCATATTGTCCACTAATTACTGGAGGCTTTTTTGCAGTTTTGTTTGAGAATGTATCCAAATACTGCAGTAGCATTCTCCATTTCCCATCACAGCTGCTGTGCTCCAGGCAGATGGACTGCTTTAAAAGTTATACTTGCCTAATTACCTTTGGAAAGAGGCTTTAGAAATCTAATCCTTTGTATTTTGACTACAAGTAAAAAGCCCTTAAGGGCTTTAGGAGAGCTGCCTGCTTTGGCTGTAGAGGCATTTGAGCTGGATTCCCGCATTCTTCATTTGCAAATTGCTATTTTAATTCTGTGTGATTTTCAGCCACCTTGGCATTCGCTAGTCTGGGATTTCTATGAATTGTTGTAATCAAAGTTAAACAAATTATTAAAACAAGGTGAAAAGTGTATAGGGAGGAATGCTCTACTACTTGGACTGAAAAGCCAAACTAGTGCTTTCACCGAGTTATAGGTGTCTGTGTTCAGATTAACAAATCAGTGTAACATTGCCAGCGACTAAGTTTAAATAACGTTTTCCCTTGCCTGGGTTATCATTCTCCATTCTTTTTTGGTGCAACCGTTTCCTGGTCTTGGTTTGCTCATTGTTTCACATTGACTGAGTATGAAAAGTTCTAAGCATCTATTTTACAAATCAATGTATTAATATAACGTGTGTCGCTCATAACAAAAAGCATGCGCCAATTTTCAGTTTATGTCTTGTAGGAGTAATAATAATATCAACAGTTTTGGTAGGAGAAATGTAGTAGGATTTAATGTGTGCCAGGCTTCCATGACCTCACATCCAGCTATCCATCTTCTTTGTCCCCATCCCTTCCCTTGGCAGCTGCTCATCACTCCTGAGGACATGCCTCCTGACTTGGTTGATTTGCTTTGTTAGCGCTGTGGATTCATCTCAGTCTCTTCATTCACTGGTTGTTGAATCAAGTGGTCCATGAGATGCTTGAAGGTTTATGTTACTTTAAATGGTGCCTATTTTATGCTCCTCTTTTCAATGTCTTGAGTATGCGAATCTGACTAATAAATATAATTGCATTCTTTTCTATTACACTTGGCTTATACTGTTAGAGCAGATCGTGGTTTTTAAACTCTTTGTATGCTTTGCACACACACTTCATAATGGTGAAAATTAGTCTTCAGCGTAAATTTATCCTAGCTCCAGTGTGCAATAAACGAATTGCCTGGAAAAGACTAAGGTGCAAATCTACTACCTCAAACGACAGTGGAACTCCGTTTCTAACCACAAGATTTTGGTTTTGAATTCTTAGAAATGGAGCATAGATTTTAAAACGTGAATATTGGGAAAAGTATGCCGAGACAGGTTGGTGCCTATTTTTCTTCTGAGATGCAAATCTTAAAGCTGGGTAAAAAAAAAAATACTTTATCCATCATGGAAGCAATCTTTAAAATCTAAAAGTATAAACAAATTCAATAGGTTAATGGCTCTGTAAGTGTCAAAGTTCTTAATGTTGTTAGCCAGAATTTTCTTTGTTCAGTATTCAATCAAAGCTAACTCTAAAGCAACAATCACAGCAAGTCATTCTAAGATGGACTGTAATGCACATTTGAGATTTTTATAATTTAAGAAACCTCAGTGGAGCTGAGAAGCTTATTTTTTGCCAACTTCTAAGTTCAGTAAGGCCAGAAATGATTTCATCACAATCTGGTGGACTGCAGAATAGTTCTTTTCGTCCTAAAATGTCTACTGAGTATTTTTGAAACATTATTCATTTTCACTACTCAGTTAATCAGTGATAGATTTTTAAAATATAGTTTAATATCAGTACATATCAGTACGTACTGCCGGGATAATGAATATGGGGAAACGAAGAGATGTAATTGAAATTGTCATTTTATGAGGAAAAAAAAAGATCAATTGCATCTGAATAGGTTTTTCCTCTGTGTATTTTCCTGCCTTGTCTCAGGTTGCAGGGTGTTTTGTAATTTTTAGGGTTTTTTTTGGGCTGGAGCTGGATTTGGGTATTTGTCAGGTCAAGCTAAAATAACATCTCAGCTATTCTTGCTACCTGAACCATTCCACATCCAGTTACTTGGTTTTACAGTATGTGTAGCATGGTTCTGCTCCACTGATTTAATGAATGTCCCTGGGCTTCCCCAGTCCCAACTAGCGATAGGGAATTTTCAAACTATGCAGGATGGTCAGTTGCTGTTTCACCACCAATCTGCCGGTCTGGACTTGGTGCCATGTCTGCCTGTGAAAAAGGTGGCATTTAATTCTGATGTTCAACCAACAACAGTGGCTGTAAATAAGGACACTGCAGTCAAGCTTCCTTTTTCACCTGACACCAGTGCACAGGTTGTCCTATGTAGTACACTTTTGTTGCCTGTTTGCTTTGGCCTGTACACGGAATCTCCTGCTCTGCTTGTGTACGCTGCCATAGAAGAGTTCTCTGTGTGTTCCTGTATTGAACTACTCAACTGTTCCCTGCTGCAGTGGGTTTGGAAATGAACCTCACCTGGGCACCTACAACATGAGGACCTAAGGAGAAAGGGTGAACTTTTTTACAAGTCCTGCTGGCAGGTTTTGTGAACCACGTTAAGATGGGATCAAGGTGAATGGAGAAAAGGATTTAACACAGATAAGGAATACAGGGTGGGATGTGAGCTTCTGACTTCAGAAAAGGAATGTTTCCACGATGAAAGAGATTATAGGATTTTATCTCTGAGTACTATTACAGCAAGACTTGTAAATTACTTCAGGTTGGTGAGACTGGGTAGAGAAGATGCTGTCATATTTACTGCAGCAGCAAAGTGGCCTAAGTGAAGCAAGTTTTAGGAATAAAAAAAGGCTTGGCTATACTTTGAGACGATGCAATGCCATTCCACGTGAAGATGCACTGAAAGATAAAATGATCTTATTTCTGAATATAGTTTTCAGAACTATGATACTTAATTCTTTTATTCTACTCTAACAAAAATAGAAGTTCAACCACCTCCTTTGAGAGATGATACATTTCATTGGCTGTTATGGAGCAAAAGGCTTCATGGATTAGAAAATATTTCTATGTCAATATTTGTTTTGGAGCATATATTGGAAGCTGTTCATGCAAGGATTACCATCGGGGGATAAGACAGGAGTTAATAAATTCAGTCATGTATCTACAGTACAGAAATCAGAATGGATTTTTTTTCAGTGTTACTTTGCAAAGACAAGTGTACTTAAAACTGAGAAATTTCTCTTGAAAAGTGCTCCAGTGCCTACAGGGAGATGGAAGTTATCCAAAGTGACAGGTTGGTGAGCTGGAAAGTGTCCAAATAGCTGGTTCATGACACAACATTTCAGTGCTTTTTCTTGAATAAATCTGGTATTCTGCTCTTTTCCTCGTAGTTGAAAGAATCCCGGGAAGTACTTGGTGTTTGTGTAAAAGGATGCACACGTGTTACATCTTAAATTACTGTAAATATATATCCTGGCCTCATAAAATGTTAACATATCTCTATCTAACTGTAGATAGATTGATGTAAGCAGGTAGGCTGCGGACAGGTGGATACGCAGCTCTGTGTGTGCATGAGAGCAAGCTGCTACCCAGGCTGTAGCAGTTTGATTACAAACCTATCAGCTCCTCAAACCTGCCTTTGGAACTTTCTCTTTGGCTGTGTAGTTATAACAACTCTGCCTCTTATAACAACAAACCTACATATTTTTCCTGAGTACCAATCCCCAAAGCTACTTCTACTGTGGTTCTTGCGGTGACATCTAGCTACTCCCCACCAACTATCTGCTGGCTGTCTTTGTTGAGCAGGCTGCTACAGGAGATGCCTGCCATGTATTTAATATATGTGTTTGTCACTTAGCTGTGCTATCCCCTACCTTAGCTGACACTTCTGAGTGATATACAGGCTGAATTTCTTCTTCCTTTACAGTGCTCACCACTCCTGTTTGTTTCTGATCACAAGTAGTCAGCATCTTTTCTAGACAGAAGATAAAAAGGCCAAAACTGTCTGAAATGTCTCTTTGTAAATCTATA